ACTGAAAGGCCTTTTCAACGTTTATTCATTGACTTCATGGGTCCCTATCCCCGCACGAGTTGTGGAAATGTCTATGTGTTTGTGTGTTTAGACCACTTCTCGAAGTTTGTATTCTTAAAACCTATGAGAAAAGCCACTGCTGCCGAGGTTATTAAGTTTTTAGAGAATGAAGTGTTCCATATTTTTGGAGTGCCCGAATATGTCCACTCGGACAACGGGAAACAATTTGTCGCGGACATATTTAGCCAGTTCCTGGAAAAGTATGGTGCGCAGCATATTAGAACAGCATTCTATTCACCGCAAGCCAACGCAGCAGAAAGAGTTAACCGTTCGGTGCTACAAATCGTGAGGTCGTATATTAAGGGACAAAAGAATTGGGATAAGCACCTTAGCGATGCCGCTTTCGCTCTCCGCAGTGCTGTGCATTCTGCGATTAATGACACACCGTATCATGCAGTCTTCGGTATGCCTATGATACAGCATGCTGCGTCATACGAGCTATATCGAAGACTTGGCGCTGTTAGAGATGCGGACTGCGAGGTCGAAATGGTAGCAGATAAAACGCAGCTTATCCGAAATAAGATAATGAAGGAATTAAAGTTAGCTCATGAACGAAGTAAGAAGACCTACAATACGAGAAGTCGAGAAGTGAAGTTTCAAATTGGACAAGTGGTGTACCGCCGAAACTTCAAGCAGAGTTCCCAAGTCGAAAACTACAACGCTAAACTTGCCCCAAAACAGGTCAAGTGCGTTGTATTAAAAATAATTGGAAATTCTATGTACGAACTTGGTGATACTAGTGGCAAGAAGATCGGGGTATACCACGCTAAGGATATCTTTGTGGCGTAGTGTATGTAGTGACCCGTGCTTTATGTTGCATGTGAAGTGTTGCATATTTAGTCGTGTTCATTGTAGTCACTTGATTTATGTATATATGGTGAGGACCGAGTCCCCGTAACTACCTGACTAGATATATGTTTACGTTTCTTTTACTACTTGACATTTTATTTCCATATATTTTATGACTTTTGTGATATTTTTTTTTTACGTATGAACATATTTATCTGTGATACTTACCTATTGTCTTGACTATTTATTTGATTATTACCGTATTTATTTTCTTATTTAATTATTTATTTATTTATTTATTAATTTATTTATTTATTTATTCATTTGCTTATATATTTACTTAATTACTTATTTATTTATTAATCTGTGATATAGATATAAGTTGCGAAACTATACGTACTCGTAGATGTAGTAGTGACCGGTGACGTAGTTTGCATATACTACATTAGATACACACACCCAGTGATGAGTCCCATAAGAGCAAGAAAACTTAGAAGCCCGGCTTGGTCGTGGGTCGAGGCCACACGTTGGACGGAACATAAGCAACAGGATGCGTTAGAATTTCTTTACGCGCACGCTCCATGATGCATGCACCATCGGCGGTCGCGAGCCTGTAACGCAAGCTGTTGTTTAGTAGGTGTGTTTGAGTGTGTGTGTGTGTTTGAGTGCGTGGGTAAAAGGAAGTGAAAGTAGCCACCCTTTTAAAGCTAACACAGCAGGCAGGCTAAAAAGTGTCGCGAGTTAGATCGTGTGAAGCTAAAAATTAAAATTATAAGTACACATACATATAAGTGTTAACTGAAAAAAAAAGGTGATTTTTTAGTGACCCGTACGGAGCAGTTACCGGGAACCGTTGTCAACTCCAGCTATCGGAATCCGAGGTAAGTGGATTTTAATAGCTAGATGCAGCTAGGGAAAACTAAAAGCCAAATGTGGACTGGGAGTATGATTTTAGCGCCTTCTATCGAACTTAAATTAGATTGATAATTATAATTTTTGAAGAAGAGCACCTAAATGCGGGTCGACCTCAATATTGTGGAGAACGTTTTTTATATTCCCAGCTGCATATCTAGGCAGATAATTGTGCGTATGTGCACGCAGTAAGCGCACAAATTTGAACTCAAAGCTAATATATGTGCATATATACATATATAGATTCATACATTTGCGTGTGTTTATTCATGCTTATACGCGCCTTAGAGACAGCAAGGTGAAACTAATTGAAGTTCTTTTAAATTTTCAGGTCGCCAGCACACCTGTGCAAAAGGACCTCGCAGGGAAAAAAGAGCTAAGCGACACACCACCTACTAAGAGGCACTCAAAGATCCAGGTTCTGCGGCGATCCGACCTTACTCTAGTGGTCCGATGCATTATTAGCAAATGGCTGCTACTCATATGGACATCGAGCACCAGTAATTGGGAGAGGCAACGATTTGTGGCAGCAACACAACAGCATATGTACATACAAACGTTTGCGCGAGGCAGTGACCAGCACCTATGTACACATAGGCAGACGGTAACCTAGGCGAACAACAGCGCTGACATATATACATACATACATATGTACACAAATCACTGTAGTCAGCTGTTTCTGTGAAAAAAATCAGAGTAGGTCAACGCACGCTGCAAAGTAGACCAGCGAATTACCCGTCCCAAAATTGTGCGCAGACTGGAATTCACCAGAGAGACCAGGAAGAGGTGACATACATTTATATATATATTTACCAGCGAGGGAGAGCCAGGGAGCATAAACATACCAACATCGTTCCAGCAGCGTCGGCAGATGCCCGATCACACCCACGCCAACGCCGTTCAGCCAGTGCATCGAGGGAGAGCAGACCATTTGTGACAGTATCACATTTTTGTTGCTATATTTTATTTGGTTTTACCAATTGTAATTTCCTCACTGTTTTGTTGGTAGATTTTGCGATTTAGGCGCGTGTTTTTTTATTAAATTAGAGTTTTAGCAAGAATTCAGTAATTTATAGGGAATCGCGCCACACATAATTTTATCATTAAACTTGC